GGCTGAAAGGTGTGCTCTGCATGCTTATGCAATTTCATGTGACTTGGGATGAACCTACGTGAGGGCTACTCTGAATCACTGTCCCAGTTCAACCTTAGGTTCATCCAGGTCCTACCATAACATAATAGTTGGTTTACAAACAAAATACTGCAACATGTAAAAAATGGAAACTGCTGGAAAAGGACAACTTACCTATGATTATATGTTACATAATAACCTTAGTGCATTTCAGGAGTATTTTCCCCTGTCATGCTGAGTCACCAGCAGCCTAAGCATGCTATTCGATAATTCTGTTCCTGTTGTGGGATCTCCCTGTCCTATTCTGACTCAGGGTGATCTTGTCCCCTGCTTGGATTTGTCTGTGATGTAGTGAGATGATCCTATGTAATTTGGAGATTTTTCTAGATCAGATTGAACTGGAATGATCCCATCTCTTTCCAAGACTTTCCTTGGCTGGTTTGGGATGATGCTTTACCCTTCAGGCATTGGTCCATATCAAATTGTGATGATCCCATCCCATTTGGTATTTGTCCACATTTAACTGGGATCATCCCCTTTTTTGCTGGGATTTTCCCAGATTGGTTTGAGATGACCCTATCCCCCCTTGGTATTTGTCCATGTTGAACTGAGATTTTCCCAGATTGATTTGGGATCATCCCATCCTCTTTTGGTATTTGTCCATGTTGAGCTGGGATCATCCCATCTCTGGCTGGGATTTTCCCAGAGTAGATTGGGATCATCCCATCCTCTTTTGGTATCTGTCCATGTTGAGCTGGGATTGTCCCATCTCATTTGGTATTTGTCCATGTTTAACTGGGATCATCCTATCTCTTGTTGGGATTTTCCCAGATTGGTTTGGGATCATCCCATCCTCTTTTGGTATTAGTCCATGTTGAGCTGGGATCATCCCATCTTATTTAGTATTTGTCCATGCTTAACTGGGATCATCCCGTCCTCTTTTGGTATTTGTCCATGTTGAGCTGGGATCATCCCATCTCTGGCTGGGATTTTCCCAGAGTGGATTGGGATCATCCCATCCTCTTTGGTATTTGTCCATGTTAAGCTGGGATTTTCCCAGATTCAATTGGGATCATCCCATCCTATTTTGGTATTTGTCCATGTTAAACTGGTATCATCCCATCTCTTGCTGGGATTTTCCCATATTGGTTTGGGATCATCCCATCTCATTTGGTATTTGTCCATGCTTAACTGGGATTTTCCCAGATTGGTTTGGGATCATCCCAGATTGGCTTGGGATTATCCCATCCTCTTGTGGTATTTGTCCACATTGAGCTGGGATCATCCCATCCCTTTATGGTATTTGTCCATATTGAACTGGGATGATCCCACCCCCTTCTGGTATTTGTCCATGTGAGAAGTGGGTAACCCCATGTTACGTGGGGACATGTACAGATTTAACTGGGATGATCACACCCTATTTCAGGGATTTGTCCAGATCAGTGTGGGATGATCCTCAGTAAAAAAAATCAAAAGTTGGGCAATGTCAATGGTCAGAATCAGTTTTGAAGGAAATTACCTGAGTTCTACATATTGCCATAAAAATGATAATCCAAAAAGAGTGGTGTGAGACAGCATCACTATCATATGAGAGACAGAGAATGTTGGCAGAAACCTTACTTGGCATGAAAAAATATTTTCCGGATTCATTTCAATTTCTCAAGAATCTAAAAAAAGAATACCTTTACAGCACTCAGATTCTTTGTGGACTTAGATACTGTACTATACACAGTCAGCATATAGGCACCAGTCACCCCTTAGACCTTCAGCTGGTAGCTCCCAGAAATGGCACAACTCAAGGTATTAAATACCTAAGCAGTGCCTAATTAATCCTCACACTCAAGTCATCTAGTGTAGGAGTATCAAAATGGAGATCTTGTGTATTATACTGTACATAGCAAGCATCCCCCTCTCCCCATAGACCTTCAGCCAGCAGCCCCCAGGAACCACTCTCAGAGAATGTACAATATAAGGTATCAAATACCTTGGTAGTGCCACAAAAGTGGTAAATTCATGTTTTTGCAAGAACATGACTTTATGTTTCTTTTTACTATGTTTTACTTTCTACAAGGTCAGGATTTTCCTCACAGAATATGCCAGATCTAGTGTAAATCTAATATTCAATATCCTTCTGCAGATTACTTTGTTGTCACAGCATTTGTGTTGTGTTTCCTAGTTTTTACTTCAGTTAAGGGTATAATAAACCTTGCAAAAAAGCAGAACTCACATATCACATCTATCAGCAAGGACAACAGCATCTTTCTAGTGTATGGTTCCTGCAATTGATTATATCTAGAAATTGATAATGTTCCACATTTAAAAAAAAGGGAATGCTTCTCCCCAAATTTGCAGTAAGCTACAATGAGGAACTTGTAACTCATATATTTCAAAATAGTCTTGATTATATTGGGCTAAAGTACCATTATTCAGGTGGAAAAGACTGGAAATATCTTCACTAGTTGGCCCAGCATTCTCACATGTTAGTATTAGCACCAATCCCCCTGATACCATGTGACATGTGACAGGTTATTGGGATTATCCCATCTGAGGGATAATCCCACTATGGTACATGGTCTGATACCATGGGAAAATCCCAGAAGGGTGGTATTATTCCGCTTCTGGGATGATCCCATCCTTGCTGGAGCACTTGGGATGATACCAGGAAAAACAAGCTCTTAGCTTTATACATTTACACAGATAGTTGAAGCTAAATGCTTATGTTTTGGGGGTGACTGAAGTGTTATTTTTACAGAATTAGCCCCAGCATATTTGAAACTCCAACCGCCATCTAAAAAAAGGCAGCTAACCACGGGGTAAATTTATAAATGAGAGCTGTTACATTATTTCACTAGATTAAGTCTATTTTTGAAAGCAGGCAGAAGTTTTGCAAATGCAAACCAGGCTATTAAACTGATCTAGGTCTTAGTTTGCTGTAGCTTGAACCTCAGGTTGACATTCAGCTCAGCCTCGGGTCAGTGTGACCTAGTCTTTTAACTCCAGTCATGATCTATTACAGGGATTAGCTGTAATTAATGTTAATTTTGACTGTGGGTGTGTGTGAGGTGGAGGTATCTGTGATACCTTGACACATTTTACTTTAACCATTGTTGTTGAGCTAAAAAATCCCTGAGATTCATCTGATAGTTTGAGTACAGTTTGGTTTGTAGAACAACCAAAGCTATCTGCCGATCTGTGCAAATACCCCAAGTATTCTGTCTTGTGCTGTGTGTGAGCTAGGAATTATGATCATATGCATTCTGTTTTCAGGTTTACTCATTATTAAAACTATTCCAATGGTGCTGACAACAGCAAATAAAATATTTCATATTCAGAAAAATGTTACAGTACACTAAGTATATTATTCATTGACATAGCTCCATGGGATGAGACTCCAGGTGAAGCATCCGCTGGTATAGTTGCGCTATCTATATGGATGGTGTTGGAATCTGCATCACTAGCCATAAACAAGTTAGTAATAGGAGTCTGCTTCCACAGCTCCTTGTCCTTCATGAGCGTTTCACAAATGTAGCTATAGATAAATGTCAATATATGCTCTTCAAATGGTTATAGACTTACTTTTTCCACCCATCATTTGACCATTTATTACCCCACTCCTTCTGTTTTCCAGCAAAGAACTTCTCAACTTGTGACCAAAAGTCCGCTCCCTTAACTGGTCTCAATAGCATTTTCTTTTGTTTCTTTCAAGGGGGTGCACCATCCAAAGCCATATCAGTGTTTAGTCTTGGAGTGTCGGAGGGAGATGGGGTACCATCATTGCCTGGCACATCTTCACTGGCATCAAGGGCCAGCTCATCCTCAGCGTAACCAAGAAGGTCTTGGTTCTTGTAGGCATATTGACACTATAATATAAATTTGGTATATACATTATGAGTAAGCAGAATGACTTACAAGTATTGCTATACAATCAGTGAAGCTCACACCCAAGTCGCGAGATCACAAGCATCAGATATTTTTCAGGTGCAGGATTCCCATAAACATTGATAAGCCGCAAGTGCTCTGCATCGCTACAAATCTTAGTCTAAAAAGCTATCAATGTTATGATAACACAATGTTTGGACCCTTCCTTCATTTTCATTCTCCGCTTTAACCTTGTGTACTTTAAGCTTTCATGGTGTCATGTGGCACTTCCCCTTTTGTTCAAACTCCTCTTTCTCGTGCCACGTTGCCTTCTTCTTATTTTTAGATACAACACTCTCACATAGTGGAGCTGGTCATGCGGGCTAGGCCTCATGACATCATCAGCCACTATATTTATCAACTGTATAGTACATAAGTACAAACAACTCTGTATTAGTATATATACCCCAATAGATCTAGGAGACTCCTCAGCGAGTCCTCCTGTTGTATACCAACAAACTCTCTACAGCCTAAGGGGTAACCACTCCCCATTCACTACCTTTATAGTGTGTTCCTGTGTGCGCCAGAGTAACTAACTCTTGGTTGTTACATTAGGACTTGCTCTTCTACTCTCTCGCACATTGTGCAAAAAGTCTGGGCACCCGGACTCCAGGGTGAAGGAGATTTGGTTATTGTTTGGGAATATCCCGTATAGCAGATAGGTGCGCTCTTCACGACGGCCTTGTAGTGCTTTGGGAGAAAAAACAATACCTTTGATATGTGGCCCCCAGCGTCAAGGGGAGTACTTTAGCTCAGCAGTTGGTGTGGAACCACTGTTGATTAGAATTTAGATACAAAACTTCTTCTTCAAATACCTTTGACCAGGCCGGGCACTTGCCTCCGCCAGTCTGGAGAAGGGTTGACAGCCTAATAAGCGGACCACCCCCTGACAACTGTTCGGACCAGGGTTTAATACTATAACTTTACATACATTTTTAAATACTGTAGTGTGGGTAGTTGGGGATTGAGACCCAATACTCAGCTGGGAAGAGGTAGATCCGCAGATAGCAAGCGGGGACCCCCAGTTACATTTTTTATTTACTTTACAAAAAGAACAAGTCGACATGTCATCGCAAAACCAACCTGACGTCAATGCTCTGTTGCATAACACGTGGCAACAGATCTTGGTGTTGACCACTCAACTCGCTGAGCTGCAGGCAAATCCCCCTGCGGCAACCCCCTTGGTAGAGAAAAAGTTCAACAAGAAAGTTGAAGTCATTGCTGACCCTAGCGCCTTCAAAGGAGACCAAGCGTGATTCGCCAAATGGTGGATCAATCTCCAAATATGGGTTAAGGAAAATTGGGACGCATTTGCCGATGACTTTGAGGTAGCCACTGCGGTGCTATCTCGACTAAAAGGACCTGTGGCGGGTCGATACGCCCAAGTAAGACTTCAGGAGTGCTACACCGCGGGAGTGTGGCCCACCTGGGACGATCTCAAAGTAGAGATCGAAAAATATTTCAAACCGCAAGCTGAGCGTGACTGGGAGTGTCAGCAAATCCGTTCCTTCAAACAAGGCAACATGAGGACGGATAATTTCATAACCTGGTTCCTGGCCCTCTCCATCCAAGGGGGTCTTGGTAATGAACATGCAGTGGAGCTGCTGGAACACAATGTGAACCCCCACATTGCAGAACAGCTCTATCTGCAAGATATGAGAAGTGATGACCTCTCTGTAGCAGCAGAGGAGGTGAGAAAGATTGGTAGGCCCATAGAGCTCTACAAAATGCACCAAGGTGGCGGGACCACCATCAAAAACAATGTTTCCCAGAGGCGCCCTGGGACATCAAACCAACATAATCATTCTTATGGGTTCAAGCCGTTTGGGTTGCAACCAGGGCAGGGAGCCCCCATGGATATTGGTGCGGTCCAAGGAGGACAGATGCGCAGATTCAAGGGGAACTGCTACAATTGTGGCCAAGAGGGACACATGTCCCAAGACTGTAGAAATGGAGCGCAGGCCGCTCACCAAAAAAATCACCAAGGGTGCCAGGCGCGCCAATTAGAAACCGAAAAACCAGACGATGGGCTCCAGACTCTGGCCAGTTGATCCTACGACAAAATCTGGGCCTTCTTCTACGATCAGCAGGCTGCTGAAATGAAGGCTCAGGGAAAAGAGTTTGGAGCTTAGGTCACTTGGGTGCCTTCGCTCCCTGGAACAATGAAGTAAACCACACCAAGGTGGCCCCTGCTCCGGGGTGTTGCACGAGCAATAAAGGAAAGATGGGGGTGGCTCCCCAGTTTGTAAATAAATTTCTAAATTTGTTATCTGAAACTTGTACTTGTATAAAGCATTGTGACTGTAATATTTATGATACTACCACTGCACCAGCGTCTCCCTTGGAGCGTGGCCCCGGTGAGACAAACACTAGGGTGCTTGATTCTGGTAAAAATAAAAATATAGAAAATATTAAAGTAGAAAAACATGTTTCGTTTGATTCCTTTTCCTCCTCTTCAGAACCACCTTCCACCGGAATCCCGAGGCGCGTGCTGATGTGCACATATTTATTCCAAAAGAGATCTGTTTAGACGTTGGTGTGGAAACCTTGCCCGGGGCATAGTACACCCAACCAGCGCACTGCTTGATTCAGGCGCTAATGGAATCTTCATAGACCAGGTCTGGGCGGAGCAGATTGGGCTCCCCCTTGTAAAACTAGATGTATCTATTCCCGTCTATAATGTTGACGGTACGCTTAACACAGGTGGCTGTATCACGCACAAATGTTCTTTTGTTGTTGAGTACCAAGGACACAGAGAATGAGTCACCACCGAAGCTACCCAACTAGGGAAGATTAATTTAATATTGGGCTGGACCTGGCTATTTAAACACAATCCTGAGATCAACTGGCAGACAGGGGTTGTCACATTGTCACGTTGCCCTCAGGAGTGTGTGAACTTGGGTAAACCAAGTCACGTCCGTCAGAATGAGCATCTTGAAAAAATAAACGCTGGTCACGTTTATGAGCTCAGATCTTTAGAAAAGATTGACGATGATGATGACGAGGTAAAACCCGAGGAAGAGATTAAGAGGCTGGTACCTCCTGAGTACCATGACTTCTGGAAAGTCTTTTCTAAACATAAGTCAGAGCGCTTCCCAGAGGCTAAGCCTTGGGACCATGCTATAGACTTGAAGGACACTTTCAAACCGAGAAAAGGACATATGATACCACTCTCTGCTCCAGAAAGAGATGAGGTTTCTAGCTTCATAGATGAGCAGCTTAGGAAGGGTTACATCAGACCTTCCAAAAGCCCTATGATGTCCCTGGTGTTCTTCATTCCTAAAAAGGATGGAAAGAAGCGTATAATTATGGACTATCGTTGTGTGAATGAGCATACAGTTAAAAATGCGTATCCGCTGCCTTTGATCAGTCAGCTAGTAGACAAATTGGCTGGTGCCAAGATCTTGACAAAGATGGATCTCAGATGGGGGTACAATAACGTACAGATCAAAGAAGCAGATACTTGGAAGGCCGCATTCACGTGCCACCGAGGATTCTTTGAACCCCTTGTTATGTTCTTTGGGTTGACCAACTCACTGGCAACCTTCCAGAGTATGATGAACAAGATTTTTGCAGATATGGAAAACTGTGTCGTCATTTACATTGACAATTTGTTAATATTTACAGAGCCGGATGATGAGGCTGAGCATGACAGGATCGTGCAAGAAGTCCTTCGACGCTTACAGGAACGGGACCTATTTGTCAAACCCGAAAAATGTAATTTTAACGTGAAGGAAGTAGACTTCCTCGGTATGATCATAGGCCAGAACAGAATCAGGATGAATCCTGAGAAAGTTCAAGCTATCTTGGATTGGCCAGAACCTACTCGTGTTAAAGGAGTTAGGGCCTTCCTTGGCTTAGGCAATTTCTACCGAAGGTTTATTGAAAACTTTGCAAAAATCACGAGACCGTTGAACGATCTCACTAAAAAGGACATTGTTTGGCACTGGAGCGCCAAGGAACAAGAAGCTTTTGACAAGCTTAAACAGGCGTTTACAACGGCGCCCATATTAGCATTTCCAGAATTAGACAAAGAGTTCCTGGCTAGAAACTGACTCTTCTGATTTTGCTACTGGGGCTGTTCTGTCAATTAAATGCCCTGAAGATCTTTGGAGGCCTTGTGCCTATTTATCACATAGTTTGTCGCCTACAGAGCGCAACTATCAAATTTACGACAAAGAAATGCTAGCCATCATTAGAGCCTTAGAGCACTGGCAGCACTACTTAGAAGGTGCTAGACACCAATTTGAAATTTGGACCAACCATAAAAATCTGGAGTATTTTATGACGGCCCAAGACTTGAACCAAAGACAGGCCCGCTATGCGGTATACTTGCCAAGGTTTGATAATAAATTAATTCATAAGCCTGGAAGCTCTATGGGGAAAGCGGATGCTTTGTCCAGAAGAGAGGATCATGCCAACGGCATCAAGGATGATAACAAAGGTGTCACCCTGATAGACCAATCAAGGGTTGCCAATGTTAGAATCGGGCAGGATTCTGATCTTCTGGAAGTCTTCAAGAAAGACATCTCCTCAGAAGAGAAGGCGCGCCTTAACGGCAATGAAAACTATTTATGGGAAGACGGGCTCTTCCATTTTAAAAACAAAATCTATGTGCCTGAGTCCGTAAGGATCAAGACAATGAATAGACATCACAACACTCCAGTGGCTGGGCACCCTGGGTGGCAACAAACAATGGAGTTGATCTCCAGAAACTACATGTGGCCTGGCATGGTCAAAGATGTACAGGAATACGTAAAATCCTGTCTAAGATGTGCCATGGCTAAAAATTCTCATCAACCGCCGGCCGGTAAACTTATGCCAAATCTGATACCAGCTGGTCCTTGGCAAGATATATTGGTTGACTTTACAGCGGATCTGCCCGAGTCAAATGGGTATGATTCAGTAATGGTGGTAGTAGATCGCTTCTCCAAAGAAGTAGTGTTCATACCCACCAACAAAACTATTACAGCCACTGGTATGGCAGATTTATTTAAAGATTTTGTATGGTCTATCCATGGGTTACCAGAAACGGTTATTTCCGATAGAGGACCACAATTTGCTAGCAAATTTACAAAAGAACTATGCCAGATGCTGGGCATTAAACCTAAGTTATCAACGGTGTTCCATCCGCAGACCGATGGACAAACGGAGAGACTCAACCAGGAGTTGAAACAATATCTCTGGATATTTATTAATGACAGGCAGACAGATTCGGCCAAGTGGCTAAAGATAGCCCAGTTCTCTTATAATACCAAACAGTCGTTGGCTACAGGAAAGGCACCATTTGAGGTTACTAGATCGTACCTCCCCAGAATGGGTGTAGAACCTGGCAAAAGCAAGAACAAGGCTGCTGGAAACATGGCCAAAGATATGAAGTCTGTCTTGGACGAAACGCGCAAGGCGCTATTTAAAACTGCAGAGCAGATGAAAGACAGAGCAGAGCGTAGACGCTTTAAGGCCCCTGATTACAAGGTTGGTGACCTGGTTTGGTTAGATACCGACCACTTAAAGTTAAAAGATCGGCAGTCTAGAAAACTGACCGAAAAGTGGATTGGCCCTTACCGGATTAAGGAAGTCAAACCCAATGTGGTGGAGCTGGAACTTCCAAAAAGAATGAGGGTAGTACCCATTGTCAATATCAGCCGTGTGAAACCCTACAAGGGGCCGCTGCCGGGACAGCGCGTAGACCGGCCCGGACCGGTTGTAGTCACCCAGGAAGGTGAAGAAGAGTTTGAAGTCAAACGGGTGGTGGATGCACGCTTGAAGCGTAGTAAATTAGAGTTCCTAGTCCTATGGAAGGGCTATGGAGACGAGGACAGAACATGGGAGCCAGAAGCCCATCTGGATAACTCTTGCAACGCTGTCCGCAAATTCTATTCTAAGAATCCCTCAGCTCCTAAGAAGCTTAGAGGCATGGATTCAAAACTTTTTAACTCTCTTTTTCAAACTATGCCCAAAAATTTAACTACCACCTCCAATATTTGGTCTCACCTGGAAGTCGAGCCTTAGAAGGGGGGTAGTGTTACGATAACACAATGTTTGGACCCTTCCTTCATTTTCATTCTCCGCTTTAACCTTGTGTACTTTAAGCTTTCATGGTGTCATGTGGCACTTCCCCTTTTGTTCAAACTCCTCTTTCTCATGCCACGTTGCCTTCTTCTTATTTTTAGATACAACACTCTCACACAGTGGAGCTGGTCATGAGGGCTAGGCCCCATGACATCATCAGCCACTATTTTTATCAACTGTATAGTACACAAGTACAAACAACTCTGTATTAGTATATATACCCCAATAGATCTAGGAGACTCCTTAGCGAGTCCTCCTGTTGTATACCAACAAACTCTCTGCAGCCTAAGGGGTAACCACTCCCCATTCACTACCTTTATAGTGTGTTCCTGTGTGCGCCAGAGTAACTAACTCTTGGTTGTTACAATCAATGGTTATTTTGATTTGTTGAAAAAAAAGCTTACTTTTATGTGGATCTGTGGCTGGAATGGTGTTGGACAGGCATTTGAGCCGGTTCACTACCGTATCAATGTGGCCCTTGGTGGACTCATGACGATGAGCATGGTACTTGCTACAAGTATGATGATCCATACATGCTAGACATGTCCATTTACCTTCATAATTAGGCCTCCACCCTTGAAAATGTTGGTATAATAGTAGTGTAAGTCAAATATCTATTCTGATCAAAATTATGATCATACATTGTACTGATTGGGGCAACGGGAAAGAGTTTGTGTTGTTAGCTGCCATCCAGGATCAATGAGTGATGATGATGAGGGCCAGATGATAAATGTGTCCAGGTCCAAATTAGGGTGCGGGAAAAAACTCTCCAATTTCTAGCAGAGTGCTAATTAGCCTGTTTTTAGCTGGTTAATAACAGGCTAAAAATTGTGACAGGTTTTTGAGGATGCTAGCATTGCTAATAATAGTTACTGCCACAATTGTAGCCACATGTAGTGTAACAGATGTGGAGGTTATTCAGATGTTTGCACACCTTCCTAAAGAGGATATTGCTTATACCTAAGCAAAAAATAGTGAAGCGACACCATGAAACAATGAACAGCTTACTGTCAACAGAATGCCAAGATGAAAATGAAGAAATTGAGGATAGCGAGTCTGGCACTTAGTTAGATGATGTGCAAATTATTCTTGTGAAAGTTATCTCCCGCACCCTAGTCCAAATTGAGTGAATCAGGGGTTGAGCTATCTTGCAGTGCTTGATATGTTTTGTCAGCAACCATTGAGTCTGATCATGTGTAACCATGGCATACCTTGGACATAGGCCAAGGCTAGATTGTTGGCCAGATTGCAGATGTGGGCCATGATGATCCACCAGGCAGTTCAGAATTGAACCTCAGGACTGAACATGCTTCAACCTGATGTATATGTTCATGCTTATCTCAGACAAATTTGATTCTAACCACAAAGTATTCACAAAATTTCCCACCAGCTCACTTTTCCCCCCAACAATTACTATTTATAGGTACAGTCTGAGACACAAATTAATTCAACAATCTGGGCATCTCCACACAAAACCGATCACACAAAAAGGGCAAAATGGCCCCAGGTTGATTCAGGTGGTTGGCTTTGTAGAGCTTTAGATGACCAAAGAATTTATGTTGATGATCTCATTGCTGACTGTCACAAGCCAAGTCACATCATGTGATGGTGTTGATTGTGGGTGAGGCCTTGATGGGACCTGTCTTAACAATGATACAAATTAGTAATAATGTAGGAGTTGGACCGACATCCGCTCAAAACGCTCGCAACAATTGAATTCTGGAAACCTGGATCCTACGAGCTTGTTTGGGCACCCAGGACTGAAGCCATAAGCGAAGCTTTGGGTTGGTGCCAAATAAAACCAAATATGCGGACTTCAAAAAACTTATCTCGCCCTGTCATGTTCTATCTCTGTCAATCTTATCTTAAGCATGGATATCAACGACAGTCCTCGCCTGCAAGCTGACCCGGTCGCAGGCCAGCAGAATACAATGCTACAGCAAATCATTTTAGTACTAAGACTGATTATCAATCAACAGCACAGATTGCACCAGGCAGCAACACTCCTTTTCACCACTGCAGGTGCAGTCTCAATTCATCACGCCGAGCCAGTCCTGGATAAACAACCCTATCACACCCATGCTCTTTTTGGACAGGGATGGGTGTTGAAACTCATTAATGGACATCCAGAACGAATTTGCTGCAAGCTAGGAGTCCACCTACATGTATTTGAGAAATTAGTTGAGATACTAAAAGATGCTGGTCATGAAGATTCACAACATATAATCCTCCAAGAGAAATTAGCAATTTTTCTTTATGCTGTTGTTATAGGGCTTTCAGTGAGGCATCTTGGAAAACACTTCCAGCTTTCTAATGATACAATATCAAGGTATAAGAGCTTCTGTTGTATTTTATCCCATTATACTAACACTATCTACAGATACTTCAAGAAAATGCTCTTCGCCTTCTCGTTGCCTCCCATTTACACTGCATTTGTCCAACTACCCCTCCAAACAGATCCTACACCTCTCAAAGTCCGTGAAAATCCTAAGTTATACCCTTAATTTTTAGATTCCCTAGGTGAGCTGTAAAATGGTGAGCATGGCCTTTCTCCCACTGGCACCAAAACTATGGCTCACATTCTTCCACTTACGCAGGATAACATCTGCTGTCTTTGTTTTGGCCAATAGGGGGACAGCCCCATTCCAGAAGCCAGGCTTGAAGTTGAGTCCTGGCTTAGCCAGCGCTTTGTTCCTCTTCGCAAAATTGATCAATGTTCTGATATCCTTGGGTGTCCATAAGGCACACTCCTTGCTGGTTTTCTCAACCCCTGCAGTAGTGGGAACTGATGGCATTTTGGTGCAAAAACAACTTTTTTTCCTGTGTTTCTTGGCTAAATGAGAGGAGGTTCATTAAGACATTTTTCAGAGTTAATAATATTTGATGCAAATCAGTTTCCTTGCTGTAGAGTATACCCCTCCCTATGCCCTGCGGCACTCCTTTCAGGAATCACACAGTCATCACAAACTCAACATACCGGCGACATTCAGCTGGTCGGCAGGTAGATTTTTCAAAGTCCGCATATTTGGTTTTACTTGGCACCAACTCAAAGCTTTGCTTATGGCTTCAGTCCTGGGTGTCCGAACAAGCTCTACAGGTCCAGGAATATATACCTAAAGATGTCTCATGGATGCCTCAAATTCATCGAGACCTTAGAAGGCAGAATTATCAAGATTTAATAATAGCTCAGATATCTATTGTTACGATACACAATTTTTGGACCTTTAAATTTCATTCCCCGCTTTAACTTTCTTTCATAGTTTTCACACACTGTGTCACGTGGCACTTTTTATTTTTGTTCAAACTCCTCTTTCTCACGCTGCACTGCCTTTTCTTTATTCTTAGCTACAAATCTCTCATGCAGTGGAGCTGGTCACACGGGTTGCACCCTATGACATCATCAGCCACTGCTTTCATCAACTGTATAGTACACATATACAAATAGTCTGTAGTAGTATAAATACCCCAATAGATCAAGGAAACTCCTCAGTGAGTCCTCCTTTTATTTACCCATAACAAACTTGGTCCTACTCTAAAGGAGATTATCCTCTTCTCCACTCACCACTCTTTGCTTGTCTTGTTGTGCGCCAGAGTATACAAACTTTGGTTGTTACATCTATCAAGAGTGGAGGTAAGACCACACTGCATCTCAGCAATCTATTGCACTCTTCGCCACTTATCATCCTGTGACCCAGCCAGGTCATCTAAGACAGGTGTTCTCACACCCAGCTGGGTCATCAAAGATGGGCACAATAATATCACATCTAATATAGCCCAGCTGGCACACTCCACCAGACTCCGCTGGCCTGTCTATATAGTAATATTATCAGGTAATAATGCCCTGCCTAAGACAGAAGGTTATTACTATACTATGTGACTTAGGTGTCAGGCAACAAATACAAAGCTATATAACAAAACTCAATGCCTGGTCAAGTCCTTGATGAAAGGCGGTAAAGCAGGGTATGAGAGTTGAAGAGTATCTATATGGGCGCAAATCCAAACTAATATTGAACTAAAGAATAATACATCGAGTATGTACTCCTTATATAATGAACAGCGAGGGTCAGACAAAAAAAGCGAAAGAGTAAGAATGTGGTCTGACCAAGCGACTAACTAATAAGAAAGGAGAGAGAAAGTGGTCCAATCTATTGTATTTAGTAATCATGTAAGAGAGAGTCTTGGTAAGATATGTACAATTGGCTGTATCAGTAAGCCCATGACAAGGCGCTGAGTCACAGCTTACATAGCTGATTAATATCCCCCCGAAGTGTTCCCGGACATAGCATTAGATCATTGCTATGTCTTCTCAAGGGTCTACAATGGTTCCCCTTTGTCGTAAGTATGATAGGACATGAGTATGAATGGAGAATAAGAAGAAAAAAGATAAGAGCAATAAGATACCAGCCGTGATCTCTAGTCAAAGGGCGAGAGAAGTGACAGGGAATGAGTCGGATAGCCACAACATGATGGGAATGCGATGAGAAAAATTCATTCCTCACACTCCTAGGGCGAGCGTTGTTTCCTTTGATCCTTTTATGTATCTTAGGATTCATTTTACAGCTTCCCAATGGATTTTGGCGGGGTTGTGTGAGAATTGTGAAACCACCAATATAGCAAACAATATATCTGGTCTTGTACCAAGTGCCAGATACATCAGCTTTCCAATAGCTTCTTGGTACGGTACATTCACCATTTGTTGTATTTGTTCAGTTGATTTTGAGCACTGATCAACAGATAGTATGATTCTAGGTTCCATTGGTGTTGATGCACTCTTGCAGTTCTGCATTTTGAATGCTTTGAGAGTTGATTCAGTGTACACTTGTTGACCTAACATTAAGGTGTGTTTCTTTCAGTTTCTGGTCATTTCAAATCCTAGTAACCAGTGGATTTCTCCTAGGTCCGATATCTTGTACTCTCGTTGTAGATCATTCTTGAAGCTT